AGATCTCCCTACATCCGTAGAAAGCTAAAATGATGGAAGCATCAACAGCAGCATCACACACCTTACTGAAGTCTATTCTGCCGGCTATGTCCATTACAATGGCCAAATCCAGAACAGCTTTGTGTATACCCATAAATGGATCAAGAATGATGTGGTGCTTCTCCTCTTTGAAATGAGGAACAACAACAGACTAAATAATATATAGCCTTGGTTCACAGTGTAATAGTCTGATAAGGCATGCAAGTGTTGAGGAAATGATACATTCCATTCCAAAGGAATAAAGCTATCTTTAAAAAATCTGCAAAGAGGGTTGCTCTGTTGGGCTGCAGTATTTCCCGTTGACAATAGCCATTCCATTGTAATCCATGCTTCATACCCCAAACCCACTTCAAAAGCAATTTTACTGCTTCGCATTTTTGATGAGAAAATCAAAATCCCAGCCTTAGTTATACAGTGGTACCTCGGGTTACATACGCTTCAGGTTACATACGCTTCAGGTTACAGACTCCGCTAACCCAGAAATAGTGCTTCAGGTTAAGAACTTTGCTTCAGGATGAGAACAGAAATTGTGCTCCGGCGGCGCGGCAGCAGCAGGAGGCCCCATTAGCTAAAGTGGTGCTTCAGGTTAAGAACAGTTTCAGGTTAAGAACGGACCTCTGGAACGAATTAAGTACTTAACCCGAGGTACCACTGTATAACATGTCTTACAGTTCTAACACAAATGTAAGAAAACTATTCAAAAATATGACAGAAGACCTTAACAGATACCAGACCAAACACAGGGCAGAGAGAGGTCACTAACCTAAAATGTATGTTTAGGTCAGGCTTCCTCAAACTTGGTCCTCCAGATGTTTTTGGCCTACAATTCCCATGATCCCCAGCTAGCAGGACCAGTGGTCAGGGATGATGGGAATTGTAGTCTCAAAACATCTGGAGGGCTAAGGTTGAGGAAGACTGGTATAGGTGAATTCCTGCATTTACTTAAGCATGTCCCAAGATGGACATGCCCTCCAGCTTTCTCTCTCTTGATTTTGAAAACTGAGAACGGTTCCCAAGTTCATTTTGAACTCTTTGGTGAAAAAGCAGTTGTTTCTCAGAGAATGTAATTGAGAAATTCAGGATTTTAGTGCAGCTGTGACTGGGCAGTAACACGTCAACCCAAAAGCCAGTATAGAAAACAGCAATGAACTGTAATTTAACTGTGGATTTTGGAAATTCTTTTCATTTCGACACATGCTACAGATTTCCTTTAAAAATGAAAATTAAAATAAATCATGCTTAGATGTCATATACTGGGAATAACCAAACAGTTGCAGGAGAAAAGGAAGCATGATAGACAGCAGCAATGAGACTAGCAGGCCAGCTGGCCAGCTTTCTTTCCCTCCATGCCTATGTGGGTGTGGTGGAATGTCCAGGATGCAAAGTGCATTACGTTCTAGCCCATTTGTTTGCTAGAGATTAAAGAGGAAATAATTTGGCCTTCCAGATAACATCTAACACCAATTAGGCTTCAAACTGAACATCTGTGTCAGATGCACCAGCTATATTTTTTACCATAAAAGGGACTTTCATCGGTGGATGATATCTTTGTATTTTAGAACAGGGAGGAGGGAAGAAGACACTATGCAAAGCCAAGGACAATTACTGTTTTGAATGAAGTGGGTTGGGGGTTTTTTTGCATCCTGGTAATTAGGTAAAGGTAAAGGGACCCCTGACCATTAGGTCCAGTCGTGGCTGCCTCTGGGGTTGCAGCGCTCATCTTGCTTTATTGGCTGAGGGAGCCGGCGTACAGCTTCCAGGTCATGTGGCCAGCATGACTAAGCCGCTTCTGGCGAACCAGAGCAGCACACGGAAACACCGTTTACCTTCCCACTGGAGCGGTACCTATTTATCTACTCACACTTTGACGTGCTTTCGAACTGCTAGGTGGGCAGGAGCAGGGACTGAGCAATGGGAGCTCACCCTGTCGCGGGGATTCGAACCACCGACCTTCTGATCGGCAAGTCCTAGGCTCTGTGGTTTTAACCCACAGCGCCACCCACATCCCAGCTCCTGGTAATTACTGCTTAATTAATTAATTAATTAATTAATGGAGGCAGTGAGAGATATTACTTTCTTGGGCTCCATGATCACTGCAGATGCTGACAGCAGCCACAAAATTAAAAGACGCCTGCTTCTTGGGAGAAAAGCAATGACAAACCTAGACAGCATCTTAAAAAGCAGAAACATCACCTTGACAACAAAGGTCCGTATAGTTAAAGCTATGGTTTTCCTAGTAGTGATGTATGGAAGTGAGAGCTGGACAATAAAGAAGGCTGATCGCCGAAGAATGGATGCTTTTGAATTCTGGTGCTGGAAGAGACTCTTGAGAGTCCCATGGACTGCAAGAAGATCAAACCTATCCATTCTGAAGGAAATCAGCCCTGAGTGCTCACTGGAAGGACAGATCCTGAAGCTGAGACTCCAATACTTTGGCCACCTCATGAGAAGAGAAGACTCCCTGGAAAAGACCCTGATGTTGGGAAAGATGGAGGGCACAAGGAGAAGGGGACGACAGGAGGATGAGATGGTTGGACGGTGTCCTTGAAGCTACCAGCATGAGTTTGATCAAACTGCGGGAGGCAGTGGAAGACAGGAGTGCCTGGCATGCTCTGGTCCATGGGGTCACGAAGAGTTGGACATGACTAAACAACAACAACAACAACAATTACTGCTTGTTGTCTTTGTCCATGGAGTTTCCTCGGCAGGGATACTGGAGTGGCTTGGACGTCAGAGGACGAGATGGTTGGACAGTGTTATCGAAGCTACCAACATGAGTTTGACCAAACTGCGGCAGGCGGTGGAAGACAGGAGTGCCTGGCATGCTCTGGTCCATGGGGTCACGAAGAGTCGGACACAACTAAATGACTAAACAGCAATTACTACTTGAGAAGTAATTGGCTGGCTCAAACTTTCTAGTCACAGTATGGAGCAAAGTGTTATACGTGTTGTGCGGTAGAGGTAAGTAAAGATATATACCGTGCTATTTTTCTAGAAAAAGAGGTGCTGGAGCTCACCGTGAACTTCTCCCTTGTTGTCTTAGAATGGCAATGACATTGAGCTCCAGTTTTAAAAAGTCCTGGAAACAGTGCTTTTTTCTGGGGGACACACAGGGGTATGTACCCCTAAGCATTTTGTGAATCTGCATTTGGCCTCATTGAGGGGCAGTATTTCAATATGAGTAGGAAAATGAGAGTACCCCTAAATATATATATTTTTAGGGGAAAAAACACTGCCTGGAAATATAGATAAATCAATCAATCAATTAATCAATATATAGATATATAGATACATACACACAATTTTTCCTAATTATAGAGATGAATGTGAAGAGATTAGCTTCTTGTTAAGATCTACCAAATTAAACACTTAAACACACACACACCTTTTCCAGCTCAACCCAAATCAAAACAAAATGTTGCCCTTAGAATCTGTGTCATGGCATGTTCCCAAAAACTCTAATTCTAATCAACCACAAGAACTGTTAGCAAACTGTGTAGCATCTAGAATGAAAGTGAAGTCTCACTATCAATGGCAGAAAACCTGAAATATATGTCTGCTTTATAGACATTATATTCACAATGGGCCCCACGTGATTAGCTAATTCCGGGATTCTCCTGTAGGCCAATCAGGTTGCAGATTCACTTCCACCTTGAACTGGATTGGGTGGCTCCTGTGGACCAATCAGACTGCTGCATTCTGGATCCTATTGTTCTAGGACCAATCAGACTGCTGCATTCTGAATCCTATTGTTCTAGGACCAATCAAACTGCAGCATTTTGGATCCTATTCAACTCAGTACATAACAAAACCCTTTCACTGGATCTGGGGAGAACAGTCACTGTTGCTGATGGCAAGTGGTGCCACAGCAATGGAACACAACCACAGGTCATACATAGGAAAAATGACCAAAGGCTAGGAAACTGAATAGGGAGGACAGGTGGAAGTAGGCTGTACGACTAACATTAAAATTATTCCCCACAAACAGTGATGGCTCCAGAGTTGGGGGAAGGCCTTGAGTAAGATATCATCAATGGGAGGGGGGGCCTCTCTAAATAGGTCCATGTGATAATTTGCACACCATCCCACTTGGGGCCCGATCCATGCAACTACCCAGAGGTAGGGTGTGTTGCAAGAGGGGAGCACCACTCTCCAACCCTTTCCTCTTGTCTTTGCTTGAAAGACTTTGGTCTTTCAAATGCCCGTGCTGCTCTGTAAGGTAAAGGTAAAAGGACCCCTGACCATTAGGTCCAGTCGTGGCTGACTCTGGGATTGCGGCGCTCATCTCGCTTTATTGGCTGAGGGAGCCAGCGTACAGCTTCTGGGTCATGTGGCCAGCATGACTAAGCCGCTTCTGGCGAACCAGAGCAGCGCACAGAAACGCCATTTACCTTCCCGCCGGAGTGGTACCTATTTATCTACTTGCACTTTGATGTGCTTTCAAACTGCTAGGATGGCAGGAGCAGGGACCGAGCAACGGGAGCTCACCCCATCACGGGGATTTGAACTGCCGACCCTCTGATCGGCAAGTCCTAGGCTCTGTGGTTTAACCCACAGAACCACCTGCGTCCCTCCGTGGTGCTCTGTAGGAGGTAAAAATTTGCCCCCACCCCCAGCCTCTCAACTCTTGTTCTGTTCAGTTTATTACTTCAAAGTTGTGGCGCCCTGCAAGTCCCCTAGGCTTGGCGCCCAATGCGGAGGAACCACTCACGCAACCCTGATTCTGCCCCTGCTACTTTCATGTTTCAGAGGGGCATGTGAACAGTGAACAGTAGTATGGGGGGTGAAGCAGAACCAGGTTTTGGGGGGTCAGCAGTGGACCCCTGACAGCTGCCTTCTTCTTATTCAAATAAAATAAAATCTTAGACCAGCATACAGTCATTTAAAATCTGAAAAACGATTTGAAAAACTAAGAAGAATCAAAAGTCTATAAAAATCTAAAGGAAGCAAGGAAAGTCTAAACAGGCATGGCCAAACTTGGCCCTCCAGATGTTTTGGGACTACAACTCCCATCATCCCTAGCTAACAGGACCAGTGGTCAGGGATGATGGGAATTGTAGTCCCAAAACATCTGGAGGGCCAAGTTTGGCAATGCCTGGGAAGGGTTAGGAACATTAGACAGGAGTGGCAGAACGTAAGAGGTTAGTATATATAAGACTATGGCCAGGGCCAAATTTAGGTTTGATGAGGCCCTAAGCTCCTGAAGGTAATGGGGCCCTTTCTATGTCCAGCTGTCCTTCGTCAACAACAAATTGTCGCTGTTTCTTGTGTTGAATATATGCTATATGGTAATTTATGGACCTCATAGGTATCTCAAGCCATTTGCACATGTTGCCGTGCAACCAGTCCATGCAGAATGAAGCCACCCTATATATAGAAAGGAGCAAACCAGGGATATTTGAGGGAGCAGGCTAGCAGGTGGGGCCCATGACTTACATCACAGTGAGCCTACACAACACAAAACACGGTTGCTGGATGTAGGTTTTATTTTATTTGTTTTTTTATCTTTTATTTTGGAAATGTACATCCAGTGTTGTTTTTCTTCTTTACATTTTTTGGGGGCCCCCAAGAGAGTGGGGCCCTAAGCTATAGCTTGTTTAGCTTATACGTAAATCCGGCACTGACTATAGCTATCAGTCTACAGAGCCCTCTGATATGAGTGCTCATTAAATCTAGTTTGTGGCACAGGTCATCGCCCGACAAATTTTGACCGCTGCTGTGTAGAATCTGGCAACGTCGTATGTTGTAGCAGGGTTGGTATCTGAAAGCAGCAGAAAAAAAAGTCCCTTCGTAATGGCACTGCCTTTTGTCTCCATGTGAGAACCCTGCCACCTAAACAGGACAGAAGAACAGCTTAATCAGGAAATAGGAACTCATGGCAAATATTTGCCTCTACATAAGGAAACAGGTTCATGATATGTTCTCTGTCTGGAAAGGCTGTGCAAGGTAACTAGGAGCTAAATGAGTCCATAAGTCATATGTTTGCAGGAAGACACACCTTCTTTTTATTTTTCAGCTTTTGTTTCATTCAAACTGGCTTTTTTATTCTTTTTATTTTTAATACTGTTTTTATTTATTTTCATGGCACAGAAGATAACTTTTTTGTTTTGTTTTTATAAAAAAAATACTTTGCACATTTAAACATTATCATCGCATAAACCATAACAAACAAATACAGTTAAAATAAAAATAGAAAATAGAAGATCAAACATTTTCACAGCTTATTAAATCCATATTTTGGGATTACTCAGATCTCTTGACTTCCCTCCATTCTCTCCCCTGGCTCTTGTGTCTTCCACTGCCTCCCGCAGTTTGGTCAAACTCATGCTGGTAGCTTCGAGAGCACTGTCCAACCATCTCATCCTCTGTTGTCCCCTTCTCCTTGTGCCCTCCATCTTTCCCAACATCAGGGTCTTTTCCAGGGAGTCTTCTCTTCTCATGAGGTGGCCAAAGTCTTGGAGCCTCAGCTTCAGGATCTGTCCTTCCAGTGCGCACTCAGGGCTGATTTCCTTCAGAATGGATAGGTTTGATCTTCTTGCAGTCCATGGGACTCTCAAGAATCTCCTCCAGGACCATAATTCAAAAGCATCAATTCTTCGGCGATCAGCCTTCTTTATGGTCCAGCTCTCACTTCCATACATCACATATAACTACAAGAAAGTGCAATTTGAAAAAAAAGAATAAATAATAATTCTGCAGGTTCCTCATAGCACAAATGTCAGGGGGCCAAGTGGTAGCCTCCCAGCACAACTTACAGAAATTCCCTCATAATGTGGTACCCACCTCACAGAGCCTATTCAGAAGGCTACCAGGAAATAATAATAATAATAATAATAATAATAATAATGGTAACAAATTAATTAATAAATCACCTTCCACACACACATTTCAAGGTGATCTACAAGATACAATAAAAACAGCTGAACAGCAGTTAAAAAAACAGAGAAGACAACAGCAGATAAATTTCAAAACAATGTAAAGTTGACACACACGGCAGTGGTTTCCTGAAAGTGCAGACAATGGGTGACTCTTTTATCTTGATAGGAATGCTATTCCACAGAACAGGAGCAGTCACACCCAAAGCCCTGGTGCCAAGTGCTGCAGAGCATGCTTCTGAGATCTCCGCAACTTGCAAATGAGCTCCTCACAGACTGCAGTGCCCTAGTGGGTATCAAGACAAGGTAAAACGCAGGTGGCACTGTGGTCTAAACCACAGAGCCTAGGGCTTGCTAATCAGAAGGTTGGTGGTTCAAATCCCCGTGATCGGGTGAGCTCCCATTGTTCTGTCCCAGCTTCTGCCAACCTAGCAGATCGAAAGCACACCAGTACAAGTAGATAAATAGGTACCAGTCCATCGGGAAGGTAAATGACGTTTCCGTGCACTCTGTTTTCCGTCACGGTGTCCCATTGTGCCAGAAGCAGTTTACTCCTACTGGCCATATGACCCGGAAAGCTTTCTGTGGACAAACTCTGGCTCCCTCGGCCTGAAAGTGAGATGAGCACTGCAACCCCATAGTCGCCTTTGACTGGACTTCACCGTCCGGGGTCCTTTACCTTACCTTTATCAAGACGAGTTGCAGGAGAATTAGCAGAACTTTCCTTGCTCTGTTGCTGTTCATGTTACACACCTTAGGTGGAAGAGAGTAGGACCTTAAGCAGCACAGATTCAACAGGTCAGAACAAGGAGGAAGGGCACTGACTGGTGACCCTAGTTGCAAATGACAACTCAGAATTCATCTGTTCAGGGAGGGGTGGGAAGAAGTAACCAGGGAGGTGCTTTGAGCAGCTTTCCTGTTAGGAAGAGCACATGAAAAAAGGATGCATCAAGAATGTCAGAATATGACTTCCCTGCTCCCACCTGTGCTGGTCCCATGGGTTTCCGTGAGGCAAGGTCTGAGTCCAGTGCGAGGTTGAGGGAGCAGTATTGAGGCCGTCCATCAAAGCTGAAGCCGGGTCCAAGGCAGGGAGTTGGGTGAGGTCATGAGATCCAGCAGGACAGGGTGCAGGCAGGAACTGGCTACCAACAACGTTGCTCCCGCAACCTGGGACTGGGTCTGGCTGGCTTTTATCTGTCCCGAGGCATAGGGCGGTCCCAGTCCACAGGTGACTTGCCTCTCCTGGCCTGGAGGCAAGCACTCTTCCTGCGGGAACTTAGTTCCCTCCAACTCACTGCCCTGAGCCTCTGCAGCTCAGGAGAGGCTGGAGGGTTACTGGGCCCAGAGGCAACCTCAGCTTCCTCTGACGGGGCTGAGAGTGGAGCACCTGCAGGCAATGGGTCCTCCATCACCTCAGGAGCCAGAGCAGACTCAGCTGGTGCCTGCACCTGAGGAGCCAGCACAGGTGAGGACCCTTCGTGCTCAAGCCCCAGCCCCGGCTCAGCTGGTTCTGGAGGCGGGGAATCCTGTGCAGGCTGGGATCCCTCAGGTTCAGCCTCCGAGTCTGAATCCCAGGCCATCACAACACCTGAGAAATAAACAACTTTAATCTAACCAGGAAAAGCCTGGTGACATAATGCACACAAGGCATCTTAGTTTCAGTGCTTATCTTTTTTGGCAGACAACTGATTGGCCGTTATGACTTTGAATGGTTTCTGTGGGTGAGAAACTGAAATTATGATGTATTCTCTTGGCAAAGACCACAGCTCATGGCAGAGCACACACTTTATGGGCCAAAGGTTCCAGGTTCAGCCCCTAACATCCCCAGATTTGAGCAGGGAGACAGCCTTACACTAGGAACATAGGGTTGGAGGGCCAACTCCCATCTCTTGCAGGGGCTCAGTTAGTGCCAGCACCTTCTGTCAAGAGCTTGGGTGTAACCTTTAATGCCTCCCTTTCCATGGAGGCGCAGGTTGCAGCCACAGCAAAGGTGGCATTTTTCCATCTCCCCCGTATTAAGCAGTTGGTCCCTTACCTTTCCCACCCTGATCTGGCCACAGTGATCCATGCGATGGTCACCTCCAGGCTTGATTATTGTAACTCGCTCTACGCGGGGCTGCCCTTGAAGCTGACCCAGAAACTCCAGCGGGTGCAGAATGCCGCAGCGAGGCTCCTTACGGGGTCCTTGCCGCGGGATCACATTCATCCAGTGCTTTGCCAATTGCACTGGCTCCCGGTGGAGTACAGGATCAGGTTCACGGTGTGGTTTTGACCTTTAAAGCCCTACGCAGCCCCACGTACCTACGGGACTGCCTCCCCTGGTATGCCCCGTGGAGGACCTTAAGGTCCACAAATGACAACATTTTGGAGGTCCCAGGTCACAAGGTGGCTAGATTGGTCTCAACTAGGGCCAGAGCCTTTTCAGTACTGCCCCCAACTTGGTAGAACGCTCTGTCACAAGAGACTAGGGCCCTGCAGACTTGACATCTTTCCACGGGGCCTGCAAGACAGAGGTGTTCTGCCTGGCCTTTGGTTTGGACTCAGTCTGACCCTTATGTTTCCCTCCCCTTACGGTTTTGATCTATGGGCTACTTTTAAAATGAGGCTGCATTTTAAATTGGTTTTTTCCCCTATTATGATTTTACTGTAATTTTACTGACATTAGCTGCCCTGAGCCCAGCTCTGGCCGGGGAGGGTGGGGTATAAATAATAATTTATTATTATTATTATTATTATTATTATTATTATTATTATTATTATTATTCTGGGGACTGTAGTTTGTTCAGGGTGATGAAAAGTGAAGCAGAGCAGTCTTTATACTGCATTAGTTAATACAGGACACTTTTGTCTCAAGCTCCGCCCATCATTGGCTCTGTTTCATAAAATTACACACCTCATTTTTATTTTTATTTTTAAAGCCCTCCAAGTGGTTTACATAAAAAGCTACAACAATAAAATCATCAGTATGAGAAACTAACAACCTTAATGTAAGACCTCTGGAGAGTTCAAAGAACAATAGGCTAAAAAGCAGATTAAAAGATGTGTCAGTTTTCCAAACACCTGGGTAGGCTTGTCTTAACAAAAATGCTTTTGCAGGCACCAGAAAGTGAAGAATACAGTGAAGTCAGTGAAGTTGCCTGCCTTGAAACCAGTGGAACCTGTACTTATGATAAAATGTGGGCTAGCAGGCAGACATTGGGATTTGAAAAACCAATCATTCCTGC